GGGGGGGGGGGGGGGGGGCTCTCAGCAGCCGCCTCGCCTGCCCTTGAAGTTCCAGCAGGGCCTGCTCCAGGGAGCCGTGGGGCAGGAGGGAAGAAACGTAGCCAGGGGGGCGTGGTTCATCCATCTCAGAGAAGGAAGGGGTCTGCAGGCCGGCTCTCCTCGGGCACCCTCTTCCCAGATGGAGGGGCGTCTGGATCACCCCGGTGCCTGCCAGGCGGGTGAGCCAGGTTGCCCTTTTCCACCCCTCTTGCCAGCTCCCAGGGAGGGGCGAGGGGTGCAGCATCCAGGGGGAAGCAGAAAGTGGGTGCCGGGAGCAGCACCTGCTCGTGTCTGAATGTGAAGGGGGGGGGGGTTGCCTGCAGACCGGGTTGCATGCGCACCCAGCAGACGTTCTGACCCACAGCCTGCCCCTCTCTCTGCAGGCCCCCACGGCTGCTCCTGGCCCAGGTGCCCCGTTAGTTTGTCTGCAGACGCCTGAGACTGTCCCCCCAAATTGCCTGGATCTATTGGGGCCCGTTTGAGGGGGTCAGCCAAGAGGACGGGCCCCAGCTGGGAGAGCAGAAAAGGAGCCCAGAGGTGGGCTGGCCTTGGGTTTCCCCTCTCACCCTCCTGCGGCTGAGGACAAGGAAGGAATCCCGGCACCTGAAGGGGCCCAGATCACGGGCTGAACACCTGCGGAAACACATTCAGGGGGAGAATTCAAATCTGGAGCCTGAGTGGAGCCACAGGCCCCGGCCAAAACCTCCCTGCCGCTTCTCGCCTTTTATAGCAGCACAGGAGACAACCACAGCTCTCGCAACCCACAGCCTGACTTGGCCTCCAGGCCCAGCTGGGTGCTGGCAAAGGAGAGGACACGCTAACGCCAGATTCCTGGGGAACATCCCAGCTTTATGTATGGGGATGGGGCAGCCCAGCTGAAGGGAGAAAAACAGCATTCAGCGCTCAAAGCCCTGAATTATTCATGGCCAGGTTTTTAACAAGCTGAGTGTGGGAAAGTGGCAAAGGAGGCGTGAATATAACAGGATACTTCCAGCTCTCAGTAGGCTGAGGCCAGCAGGCAAATAGCGTTGAACTTGGAAGCATCTCCCTTACGGAAGGGGCTCTTCATCTGGCCTTCCTGCCTGCGGGGTTGAGAGCCTGTCGTCCCCCTGGCTGCTTCTGGGAAGAGCCCCAGAGGGTCTCAGAGGTCGGCCAGAAGCCCCTTTCTAGCAGGGCCTGCCTGCCCCTCCCCTTAAGCCGTGTGTCCACCCCGCAAACCCCCACCTCCCCCATGGAGAGGAGTGCTTTCAGCAGGAGCCCCGAGGTGCTGCTGGCCAGAGGGCCCTCGTAAGCGCCCTCCTTTCCCAGGGCTGCCTCTCCGCTCATCCACCTCCAGCATTTGGCCAGACACATTCAGGCAGAGCATATGGCTGCCGCCCATCCACCCTCCCTCCCTCCCAGCCAGCACAGTCTGCCATGCTGGTGTGGCTATTCCTGTTCTGCATTTCATGCACAGGACTTCTTGCTTTTTTAAAATAATATTTTTATTATGCATTTTCCTTTATAATACATCATATTTTCAATTATACATCAACAATCCATCTCTTTCCGTCTCTTTCCTTCTCCCCTCCGCTTCCTTCCCCGTCTCTCTTTCCTTTCCCTCTCTTCCCCTCTACTCCCCTCTCCTTCCCTCTCTCCTTCCCCCTCCTCTCTTTTCCTTTCCTCCTCTCCCTTTCTACTTTACATCCATATTATGTGTGAATAATGTTGATTCCAAGCATCGATCATATTAATCCTATTTACCACAATATTAGTAATCTTTATCACAATCAAATGTAATCATTTTTATACTATTTAAACCTTATATAAAAAGAAGATATCTAACATCTATAAAACCTTAATCTTTCTATTATTTAATAATCCAGTTCACCACAATATTGGTATTCTTTATCTCAATCAAATGTAAACAATCCTTTTAATATTATTTGAGTGTACTTTAAGAAAAAGACGCCTAAGATCTATAAGTCTTTAATCTTTCTATCTTTTCAGTTCCATAAAAAAAAAGAAAAGAAAATTTCCTCTATGTAGTTTGTTTCTATCTTCCTTAATATTTAAGTAGCAATTCTTTCTATCCCTTGACTCTTGCCCTCAATAGTGCTTCAAATCTAATTGGGTTTTTTTCCTCGTTTCCCACACTCCTCATCTTCATCTTTCTTATTTAACCTAAACATTTCTCCAGTGACATACTTGTACTGACGTTTCTCCCACATACCTGCTCATATCCCAGTCTCCTTATCCACTATATCTTCCCATGCACAGGAAGGCTGCACCTGCAGAGGGTGGGGGCCAGGGTACCCCCAGGAAGCTGGGGAATCCCCCTCTGGCAAGCCCACATTCTCGCTCAGCTCTTCCAGCGGGGATCACCCCCATCTCTTGGGCACTCTGGGGGCAGCATACTGCCTGTGGGGAGGGATGGAGCTGGGCTCAGGGGTCCCGTGGGTCAGAGGAGGCAGCTCAAGCCCTCCCGTCTCCAGCAGGCCAAGCCCCCTTCTTTGCCAGTCCCAGCAGAGAGGGCCGGGTCCTCATTCCAACTGGCTCCCCCCAAGGACTGGACTGCCAGATTCCTCCTTGTGGATTAATTTTGTTTTTCTGTTCTGAATCTCTGGCTGGGGCTTTTCTCTAATTCCACTGATCCATTTTCACATTTGCCTGGCTCCCTTTTCTAGCCAGAGTCTCTCTGCCTTCAGCAAGCAGTTAAGCCTGCAGGAAGAGCCAACCACGGTCACTTCCCATCCTAAAGGAGCAACCCTCTGCTCAGAGGGGCCACTTCTTACTGGGATGGCTGGAAAGAGTTCCCAGAACAAGGAGACGCTGAACCGACTTTCTTTGATCTCACCTGCTTCTCATGGGGGGAGGGGGGGGAATGTGCACAATGGAAAGCAGAAAGGTCAGCTCTGTGGCCTGGAGAAGCCGCAGCTGCCACCGACCGGAGCCCCCAAAGGATGCAGTCAAGACCTGGGTGGGAGAGCTGGGTGCCTGCGAGCTTCTCTGGCTGGAGAGCTGCTTGCCAGAAGCCCTTTCCAATCCTCTCGGGTCCCCTTTAAGCTTCCACCTGCCTCCAGCTGCCGGGCCCCTCCCCCCCAGACGCAGAGCAGGCTGTTCCTTTGATCCCCTCCACTGGGTTCCCACCCGCCTTGCTCTGGTCCAGCAGCGGCCCTGCGGTCGAAAGGGGGCTCGGAAGAGTCGTCGGGCGCACCACTCTCACCGCTGCTGCTGACTCACGTTACAGGACCCGAGCCCAGCCTGGCTCCGGCTGCAGGTTAGCACAGCCAGGGAAGTGGGGGGGCGGACCCGCTGAGCTGCAGACCACCCCAAACGGGCAGCCCTTCCCCACAACCATCAATGGGGGGAGGGGGCACTGAAGTCTGGGGAGGGATCTGGTACATGATGGTTCCGATGCAGAAACTCCGGGAGCTCTTCCACCCCGTCAAGTCACTCCCTGCCCGCGCTGGAATTTGGAAGTTCCCAGAATGGTCAAAAGCAGCGGCCCGCCTGGGTCAGGGCAGCCGGACATGAAGCTCTTGAAACCGAGGCTGAACCCACCCAAAGCTCCGGCAGCTTTGATGAGCGGTAGCAGTTCCGACCCCAGAGGCCCGCTTCCTTCCTCGCGCACATTCACACGTGCTTCTTAGCCACAGGAGTCGGAGAGCATTCCAGTCACACCCCACTGCGTCCTCCAGGCCTCCCCACAGGAGGCCGCGGCTTGCCTTGCCTGCCGTCCCTCGGGCAACTCGCTTCCCTTTCGGCTTGAGCTCCGTCGCGTCCCCAGCGCCCAAAGACGGCCGAGCGACGGGGAGGCGGGGCGGGGGAGACTTATTTGCCGGAGCCGCCTTAGCTCTTGGGAGCCGCTTGGCTGTCAGCGCTCCAGCCCTGCGAGGGGAGAAGTGGGAAGGGGCGAGCAAAGTTGACAGGCGGCGCCTTTCTGGAGAGAAGGCCGCTTTTCTGGCCGGGCCCGCTCCGTCCTTCCCGCTCATGGCTCCTTCCCCGAGAGCAGAAAGCCTCTGGGCCACCCCACGGGCCACCCCGGCCCCGCCACCTCGCTGGGCCCCCCTTCGAGCACCAGCTGCTCCTCCGCGCCGCCAGCCGCATCCCGGAGCGCCTCGCCTGCCGCGCCGACCGAGTCACTCACCCGGGGGGGCGGCCCCTCCTGCCGTCTCCATCCGTCCCGGCTGCACCAGATGCCCGCTGCGCCGCTGCCGCCTCCCTCCGCGCCGCCGCGACCACTGCAGCAGCAGCAGCAGCAGGAGCAGCAGCAGCCGCCGCCCGAGCGCACATCGCCGGCGGGGAGGAGCGGGCCCGGCGCGGGGGAGGGCGCAGGGTGGGGGGGCCGAGCGCGTCCTGCCGCCGCCGCCGCCGCCGCCGCCGCATTAGAGCCCGGAGGAGGCAGGGGGCCGCCGAGCAGCGCAGGGCAAGGGGAGGAGGCGCCGGGCGGGGCCAGTGGCTTCAGCGGCCCGTGGCGAGGCGGGCATCGGAGCCGAGCGGAACCGCCTCGGGAGGGCGAGGGCGCTCTGAGCACAAGCGAAGCGCCTCGCTTCAGGCTGTCACCTGAGGGCGGAGGGGCGGGATGCTCGCCCGGCCTCCGGCAGGCAGCGAAACGGCCGGAGCCGGTCCTGGAGGGCGAGGTTGCTTGGCCGGGCCTGGCGCCCGCCTTCCCCTCCGTGGACGGACCCGCCGGGTGCTTTGCAGGGGCCGCGGGCGGGCCTTCGGGAGGCCGCCCGGGGAGCCAGCCTGGCCCGCGTTCCCCGGCGATCCCCGCGGCTGCGCTGCAGCGGCCCGTGACTGAGTCCAGGCTCCGGAGACACCCGGCGCCTCTCGGCTGCCCCGCGCAGGAGCCGCTGCTCACAGGGCCCCCCGAGGCTTGGCCGTTCCGCAGCCGGGGGGCTCGGGGCTCCGGCGCTGCAGACCGGGTGGCCCTCTGTCCACGCGCAGGAGCGCCCTCTCCTGGTCAAGCGCAGCGGCGGCCGCTTCCCCTGGCCGGCTCCTGGCTGGGCCCAACGCCCCGCCCGCCGGCCTCCGCCTCCGCCCCCTCCCAGCCCGCCAGCGACGGCGGCCCCGCCCCGTTGCCAGGGCGGTCGTCAGGGGCGGCTGCGCGGCCCGCCCCTCTCGCGAGACTTGGAGGCCGGTTGCCTGGAGACGCGGCGGCCGAGCGTCTCTCTCCCGCGGCGTCATGGTGAGGCTGGCTCCGCCGGCGGGGCGCCTCGGCCGGGGACTGCGGCGGCTCTCGGCCCTCCCGCCGCGGCCCGCCCGGTGGCTGCGCCGGGATGCCGGGCCGCGGGGCTCCGGGCGGGGGGCTGCCGCCGTGCAGGGGGACCCACCGCGGCTCCTCTCCTCGCCCCTCCCGTAGGCGCCCAAGAAGAAGGCGGAGAAGAAGGGCGGCGGCGGCGGCGGCGGCGGCGGCAAGAAGGGCAAAGGCGCCAAAGGGCCGGCGGTGGTGGACGCGCTGCCCCCCGACGGCATGTCCAAGGAGCAGGTTGGGGCCGCCGGGGCCGGGCTGGGGGTCTTGCCGCGGGGGCCGGCGCGGCCCGGGTCCCTGCTGGGCTGAGCCTGCCGGGCCTCTTGCAGCTGGAGGAGCACATGGGCCGCATCCGGGAGGAGCTGGACCGCGAGCGGGAGGAGCGCAACTACTTCCAGCTGGAGCGCGACAAGATCCACACCTTCTGGGAAATCACCCGGCGGCAGCTGGACGAGAAGAAGGCCGAGCTGCGCAACAAGGACCGGGAGATGGAGGAGGCGGAGGAGCGGCACCAAGTGGAGATCAAGGTCGGGGTCGCCCTCCCCCCCAAACCTGGGCCTTCCCTGCGGGGTTCCTGTCCCCCGAACCTTCCCGCTGCTCCTCCCCCCAGGTGTACAAGCAGAAGGTGAAGCACCTGCTCTACGAGCACCAGAACAACCTGACGGAGCTGAAGGCGGAGGGCACGGTGGCCATGAAGCTGGCGCAGAAGGACCACCGGTCCCAGGAGACGGAGCTGCGCAAAGACATGCGCACCCTGAAGGTGGAGCTGAAGGAGCAGGAGCTGGCCAACGAGATGGTGGTGAAGAACCTCCGCCTGGTAAGTCCTGCTTGTCCCAAAGCCGCCCCCCTCCCAGAGCAAGCCGGCCAGCCTGCCTCGCCTCAGCTGAGCAGCAGCACTGCTGTCTTAACAGAAACAGCAGGAAGACCTGACACACCTGCGGAACGACTTTGAGAGGCAAGTGAAAGGTCAGTCTCGGGACTCAGCACGGCCGTGGCTTGGTCTCTCAGGCAAGCCTAGAAGTCCGTAAGCGCTGCTTCCTAGCAGGCAGCGGGAATGCTTGCGGCTGCAGAGTCTACCTTTCTCCTGCGTCTCCAAAGCCAGAAAGCAGGGGCCCCTCACCCGCAGCAGTCTGCAAGGGACTTGCGTGCCGGAAAGTTACAGAGACCGCATGCTGCTTTATGGGGGTGAGGCTGTCCAGGGCCTTTGGGGATCTCCAGGCTCAGGGGGCACCTGCCCCCTTTCCTCTGCAGCCATCAGCCGAGGATAGACAGGATGACAGTGGAGCATTCAGCCCAGCCTGCCTGGTGGTGCTTCTGCAGAGATTGAGGCTAAGTACGAGAAGAAGATGCGGGTGCTGCGTGATGAGCTTGACCTGCGCAGGAAGACGGAAATCCACGAGATCGAGGAGAGGAAAAACGGCCAGATCAACACGCTGATGAAGAATCACGAGAAGGCCTTCAGCGACATCAAGAACTACTACAATGACGTCACCCTCAACAACTTGGCCTTGATCAATACCCTCAAGGTAAAGCACAGAGCAGCCTTCTCTGCTGGCATCGGCAGAGCCCCGGGACCCCCGTGTGGGCATGGCTTGGCTGCTCCGACTAGAGGATTCACGGGGGGGGGGGGGGGGG